TTTTCAGAATGTACAGACTTCTATTTATAAAATATTAAATTATAACAAAAATTCCAGCTATGAGTAGCTAATAACAAACGATAGAATATTAAAGATAAAGTTCAACTTGATTAAACACAAAATCCAAATATAATATCATCCCATATAGTGTGTTTTGCAGTTGTGTGTACAATTAGTGTTTCTTACAGTTTCAAATTAGTTAGCTTATTTGATCATCTTCTGCGACGCGTTGATCCTATATTTATCATGTACCATTTAGGTTAAAAAACATGAAACAAATTGTTATAATATTAATTTATTAACAAATTACACAAAACTTATTTATCAGTTAATGGAGTTTGTATATATATGTAGGGGATTTTTTTGATTTTTGTTTTGTTAAAAAAAAAAATTATCAATTTGTATCTAGTATCTACATTTATTGTACATACGCGATACGCACAAAAGATACAAGATACATTAGTAAAAAATTATCTATAAATACTAATAGATTTGAAAAAATAGATATAAATAYAGATAAATTAAATATATTAAGATATAAATATACTTAAGCGTAATCACACCGTTTTTGGTCAGGATTGTTTATCGTATGTWAAGATTTATTTATTGAACTCAAATTTAACATGCATAATACTATAATAATAGTGACTCAGTATCTAGGTACTGTACAGCAGCCAGCAGGGTATTTACCAATACCATTGATTATAAATACTAGTATTTATAATCAATGCCAATACCAATCTTTATTTTCCCCCGTCCTAGTGTTATATTTATTATGTGGTAGTAAACTCATAGGCGCAAATGGGGAGGACTTAGGGGATACTAATTGGTAGCTACGTTCTGCATTTTTTTTTTTTTCAATAATAACAATTTAATTAATATGTATGGACCATGGACTGTACCTATGGTATAAAATATCCAGAATATCCTAGACTGGCAAACCGTCTTCGCTCAGAATCGTTTTTGATAGGTACACAATGATATTATATTATTGAATTCAAAATAATGTCATACCATATTATATTACCATCTACCTATTACAGTAACCTAATTGTAAGTTGTAATCTGCTGTACAGCAGAGTGACATTTTATTTATAAATAAAAAATAAAAAATGTTTTTTCCTCGAGTGATTTTTATTACACTCGATTATATGAACGTTAAAACTATGTCGCTATGAACATGGCTTTTACAGATTTGCGGCATGTATAATGATAAAGACAAGTGCAGTGTTAACCAAGTTTTTTATGTTGTTTATACAATTTTAATCTGAACAGTTATATAATCTGTAGATTATTACCAATGGGCAATGGCAACCGTTAGGACTTTTTGTCCGACACTAAAAAATGAGTCCGTAATACGGACTCCGTATTATTTTTAAATCAATTTTTAATATACTCACCGGGACACACGGGTTGTCACTGTGCAATCTAAACTTAAAATATCAAAACAAAATATTTCAAACTAAAATAGCAAGAATCAAAAAAGTCGGAGCATGTAGGTAATATATTTATATTTTTTTTGCCCTTGAAGTCAAAACCTAATATCAAAAATAAACAAAATATGTTAATAATTTCTAAATCTAACGGAAGACCGAAGAATAGGTTATGTAGGTTATTGTGTGCTACTCATCTCGCATTTATATACTTAAGATGACAGTGGATATCGCCAAGGACATTCATCTGTCAAATCCTAGGGGGGGGGGTTGGCAATTATAAAATAAATAACTTAAAAACTAAGAATCAATCAAATTTATTTTATTAAATAATGAAACAAATATAGGTACATCCATATTCCATACACCATACCATATAAATTTATATATTTGCAGCTGATTGATCGACATAGTATTACGATAAAAACCTAATGTACATAATATATAGTATTATCATTATTCATTAGTAAAATTAATTTAGTATTCAAAACAATGAAATTTGCAATATTKTTTCTGGTGGAGTGACATGCCACTCTCTGATGAGTGCCCTTGGATATCATCGCCTCTGTCGATTATCAAACCTTTGGCAGCAGCGGCGCCAAACGTGAATTGTTATTAACTTATTATAAGTTATAATGTTACAGCGATGCACCACAGTTCCCGCGTTTTATGAAAGCTCTGTATAAAAAAATAGTAAATATTCCAAATTGTTTATCGAATATATATATATTAAATATTTTAAATTAAAGAAGTGAAATTCAAAATAGTACCAATATAAAGTAAACAAATATTTTTTAATTTCTGTTGTTAAAAGTGACGCGGTGCCTCACATATGTTTCAAAACCGTAAAATGTTGTGTGGTTTATATAAATAGGTAATGGTATATAATGGAATATTTATATCAAGCCATAGTCTTTGGCAGTGGTGTCCATAATCTTTGATCCACGACCCTCAAATTAAATCATATGGATGACCCCTTCTTSCTACCAAATTTTATGTAAATGTAATATATGTATAATATATACTTATTTAATGGTCTAAATGTATACAAACATTTTAATTCAGATATGGCATATTGATATGGTCATCGGCGGTACAAAACAAATTTTAAGTTATATAAAATAATATAGGTAGTATATAATTTTTTCATTTGGTGTTAATTATTATTTATCTCCGGATTACTCAACACACTGGTCTAAATGGTATAAACATAAATATCAGAGGAATTTTTCTAATGTGAAAGAGTGTGAACTATTAGCATTGATTAAGACATTAAGTATACTTTCACTTAAAGCCTAAAGACATTATATCATTAAACTTAAATCTATGCTTAAAGGTAGCTCGTAGCTACACACTTTATGCGCATATTCGATGTTCATGGTTCGTGATTAGAACAAATTCGTAAATAATGTATTAGTATTTAGGGGTCTAAACTGATAAGTGAAAAAACTGTCTATATACATTTTCAAGACATAAGTTTCAAAGCATAATTTATCAAAACAAAAAATCTAGAACCACATAAAAATATAACAATAGATAGCTATAATAAAATACAAAATCAAGAGAAAAAACAAATACTAGGAATAGTACTTGATTACAAGTGTATAGACTCTATACACACTATGCAGACATTAATTGATGGTAAGAACATTTTTCGTGTTTGAATGTGGGTTTTTTATGATAATTCAGTTTTTAAGAGAGTTATAAGTTTATAACATAACTTGCAAATTTGTCACGTCTTCTTAACTGCGTGATGAATATATGTGGTTATTAACATATAACCAGGGTGGCAGAATGGTAATATACTAATATCATTGATTAAATATACATAACAAATTTAATATATTTAATCAATGCTAATATATAACTGAGCAGCGTGTGCCGTGTAGTACTCCAATTCTGTCTAAAATTGTAAATAACACTACATATTACACAATACCGATGACAAATTAGAATCTAATATTTAGATGATAGAACTAAATACTAATTATAATTCATAAATAATAGTTCATTTCATATTAAGCAGTTTAGCAGTAACTAGCCAGTAAGCTGTAAGAACATTGAAAATTGCGATTTAAATGCGATTATTTTAACATTTTTAAGTTTTAACTATTTGTTTTTTGTATTGATTAAAACAATGTCATCTAGTATCCAGTGAAGTGATGTTAAGGTTAACCTTAATATGTTCAAACCACGATACTATATTAAATCGTGGTTCAAACGCATCAAAATGTATAAATTATCTTAAGATTTCAACTGAAAGCCTGGCAACACTGACGTGAAGCATGGTCGACGTTAGCAACACAGATTGTTTATTGTTAGCACAATGCCACAATATTGCACGGATAAAATAATCATTTTTATGACGTTATAATATCTTTATTCTTTATCTTAAACTCGACAGTTGAATTACAATAATCTATATTTGAATTTTTAAACACGCCGGCTAATGGCAGTAGTGATCAGTGATCACTGATCAGTGCCCAGTGGACAGAGCGTCAGAACGTGACRGACGACAGTTTCAGTTTAATCATGTTCCGGACGCGGTATAGCACATCGTGTCACCATTAACGGTTAGAAAATAAGACTGAAATACTTAAATACTGAAATACTTAATGGACGATGTATARCAGTAATTAATTTTTCGAGTTCTCTTTTATTGCTCACGAGTTGTCGCTATTTACTGTTCAATATGAATTGTACTCATTAATCATTTTTTTATCATTCAATTCATATTTGTTTTCACTTAAATTATTATTCAATTTTTCGATAGTTTTCTAACAGTCTTACAGCAATGGAATCAATAATTCCATGTGACAAATCTGGTAAGTTTTATAATGTCATTATTTAATATTTAATTATTTTTTTAATTGATAATAATGTGTTTATGGATATTAGGACAGAGGACTTGTAGCTCTAAAAAAATTCTAAATATGCAAGCACTTATGCACTTAACATTTTTTTAGTGAATTTACTAGTCAGATAATAGCATGTAAAATTAGTCAAAACAATTACATAATTTAAATATATTTTGTACCATAACCAAATCAAAATATATTTCTTTTGGTACAAAAAAAAAAAAAAAATAATGATAATATTAATAATAATCATAGTTTAGTTAAAATCATTTTCCTCTGCAAGTGCTTCTTGAAAAACTTGTGCCCACGAACAGTCAAAAACCATATTATACTACAAAAATTAAAAATGAATAATTTTTTATCTAAACATTTTGATTGTATTCTTTAAGATAAAAATTTTAGTTTGGAAAAAATTGATCTAAGTTAAATGTGTCTCTAAAAGTATAAAATTACGTATATAAGTGTAAAATATGCCCTAAAAACAAAAATGACTCAAAATATGCATTTATATACAAAATAAATTTCAAAACTAGCTGTGTTAAAGCATGAAATATGTTTTTTTATCAAACATGTTTACAAATATGCAAATGCTACAATGTTTATGTCCTATTAATTATATACTATAGGGTTTTGATATTGTTTTGTACATTTCAGTGTTACTAACTGAAGATGAACAAGACCCTCAAATAAGTGCAAAACGTRTCAAATATACAGAAATGTCAGAAAACAAAGAGAAACCGTTCTTGGAAACACTTACTGATGTTGCTCTAGATAAAACAAGTCAATTACAAGGTAAGGTAAGCTGCAAGTTTTGTCATAAAACGATAACGGAAGATGTGTATATACCTTCAGATGCTGGATCAGAGTGCATAGTATTAGCTAATGAGGTTTTGGCCAATATTTTCACTGATAATTTTAATATTATACAACACAACCTTATTAATTACAGTATTTATGATGAAAACGGTCACATGTGCTCAATAGATTCAGGAATGATGGAGAGAAATGTAAATCTGTACATAACTGGCTATGTTAAACCAATTTATAATCGCAGTCTTGATATAAAAGGTGGAATTGCATGCATGGCAGGACCAATATTAGAATGGTGGTTATCATCATATGATGGTGGTGCTCAAGCATTAATAGGTATAAACACTGAATATGCAGATTATTTATTACTTGAACCACACCCTAATTATAAAAAATATATGACATCTGTAATTGAAAAGATAAATCTGAGCAAAATAGTAATTGAAAAAATGTTAGACAATCATGAATCTGATGATTCAACTTATGAAGATATTTTAAATTATGTTRTAACATCTATAAACCCAGCAACAGGGAATACATTTTCAGAAGAAGATCTTATTACTCATGCACAGTTTGTACTCGATCAAGTAACTGACTACGACTCAATTGGCATGTATGATTTTCCATTATCTGAAACTCAATGTGTTGAAACTTTAACCCAACTTTCAGGTGCCACAAAATCTGTTAATGTACCAACCAGAAGATTAGGTAGATTGGGACAAGGAACACTATGCATAAAAACTGATTTTAGCCAACGTAAATTCAGCAAAGCCACTACTACAGAGCTGGTGAAAGATATATTTGAAAATGTTTTTGCTGCTCAGTTAGATATASATGATAAAGAAAGTGAAGAAACAATGAATAAACTTGTGAAGACTGTTTTTGATAATGTATGTAATGAAGATGTTAATAATGATAAATCTAAAATCAACCGTGTTGAAAATCAAGTAATGTGGAAAGACCAAAAACTATGTGAAAAAATGTTTGTTGTTGTGAAAAACCATGTCTCAAATATACCATTAATCGGATGCATAGAATATTTTTTTAAAACAAAGTTTAAACATATGGCTCATATTCAGCTCTTTATGCATAGTTATGAAACTGTATTGGGCGAAACAGCTGACCCTCAGGAAATTTTTGTTCTCAAAAATTGTACAAACATTGATATTAAAGATGTAGTTAAAGTATTAGATGTTGAAAAAAAAATACCTAACAATAATTGGTTCCAACTCGGTAATTCAAAATTACAAGATCTTTTAGAACCCGTTGACCGTAAAAATAAAAAATCGTTTTTTTATCAACTACAATATGATGACACATTTGGACGATTCGAGTATCTTAAACCTGAAGAATCAATTAATGATATAAGAAATAAGTTTTGTAATAACTGTGAAGTTATAGAATTGGAAAAAAAATCAAAAGAACCTGAAGTATTTGAGTTTATTGAAGAAGAAAACAGCATTTTATATTTTTATAAATTTAGACTATTTGATGAAGAGTATAAAATTGGTAATTTTATTTATATGAAACCTGGAACATTCAAAAAAGCTTCAAGATCAAATATGATTGGAGAAGAACTATTTGAGCTTAAAGAAAAAAGTACAAATATAAGTAATCAAGAACAAAAAAATCTTGACGAAACTGTCTATACAGAGTATTATCGTAAAACGTTGGAAAATTCAATGCGTGGTTCAAATGAAACCACTCCAGATCCATTTGATATTGCAGAAATAAAAGCTATTTATTTTGTTGATCGTGATGGTAAAAATATCAAGCTGATTGTACGTCGTATGTATAGAGCAGAACAAATTTTTCTAGAAAATGATGCTAGAAATACAGATATGAATGAATTATTTTGGTCCGAAGAAGAGTTTAGAATCACATGCCAACAAACATGTGGTAAATGTTATGTTGCTTGTGGAACCAACATTCCAGATCCAGTTGTATGGTCTTCTCATGGTCCCGATCGATTTTATTTCAATAACCAATATGATTCTCTTACTAATTCTATTGTCCCTGTATATAGACTCCCAATTGAAGCTAAACTGATAGGAAAAGAAGTTTATGTTAATAATAATTATCAATATGTGGATGAAGATAAATTACAGTATATACCATCATATAAGAAAATCAAACCACTCAGAGGACTGGATATATTTGCTGGTTGTGGTGGCTTGTCAAAAGGATTAGAAGATAGTGGTCTTGTTGTAAGTAATTGGGCTATTGAATGTGATGAAAAAGCTGCTGAAGCATTTGAATTAAACAATCCYGAGTCAACTGTGTTTATTGAAGATTGTAATCATTTATTAAAATTAGCAATGTCTGGAGAAAAAACAAACAGTAAGAATCAAAACATACCACAAAAAGGTGAAGTTGACTTCATTTGTGGTGGACCTCCTTGTCAAGGGTTTAGTGGAATGAATAGATTTAATTCTGGCCAATATTCATTGTTTAAGAACTCTTTAATTGTTTCATTTTTATCATATATTGATTTTTATCGTCCAAAATATTTTGTAGTGGAGAATGTCAGAAACTTTGTGTCATTCAAAAACAGCATGATCCTTAAATTAACTCTTAGATGTATTACACGTATGGGCTACCAGTGTACCTTTGGTATCTTACAAGCTGGTAACTTTGGTGTACCTCAAACTAGAAGGAGGTTAATTATTATGGCTGCAGCTCCTGGTGAAAATTTGCCTTTTTATCCTGAGCCTATAAACGTCTTTAATAGAAAAAGTTCAAGTCTAAGTGTTCAGGTTGGTGATAAAAAATTCAAAACTAATTGCATCTATAATGATTCTGCTCCTTTGAGAACCCTCACAGTATATGATGCTTGGTCTGATTTACCTGAAATATCAAATGGAGCTTTTCAAGAAGAAATTCCATACTGTTCTACTCCCATTACACATTTACAGAAATTATTAAGATATCCAGACAATCGATATGCAGAATCTATACTGAGTGATCATATATGCAAGGAAATGTCATCTTTGGTTCAAGCTAGAATAGCACTAATACCAGTAGGTGAAGGAAGTGACTGGAGAGACCTACCCAACATTATAGTACAATTACCTGAAGGAATTGAAACCAATAAACTTTTGTATACCCACCATGATATAAAAAATGGTTATGGTCCAAATGGTGAATTACGCGGTGTTTGCATGTGTGCCAGTGGTGATAAATGTGATCCGCAAGATCGTCAAAACAATACAATTATACCATGGTGTTTACCACATACTGGTAATAGACATAATAACTGGGCAGGCTTATATGGYCGTCTAGMATGGTCAGGGTWTTGTTCAACCACAATTACAAATCCTGAGCCAATGGGAAAACAAGGCAGAGTACTTCATCCTGAGCAACACCGTGTAGTCAGTGTACGAGAGTGCGCCCGCTCTCAAGGCTTTAAAGATTCTTTCATATTCTGTGGATCAATCTTTGACAAACATAGGCAGATTGGTAATGCAGTCCCTCCGCCAATGGGTAAAGCTATCGGTCATGAAATAATCAGAGCTATTTACCAAAACTATCACTTGTAATTTTCAAATTGTAAATTTTATATTTTCGGTGACAATATAATTTTAAATTAGCCAATTAAATTTAAGTTCAATGAAGGTTCAAAGGGTAATTAATATGTTAAGGTAAAATTATTTTTAATTTTTGTATTCAGTAGTTGTTAAATATTTAATTATGTTATTTGTTAATAGTACCTGCACAATTTTTTAGTTATTGTAAATTTAGTCAAGTTACAATTTGTTTTAAATTTATAAATGTTCGCCCATGTATGCCATAAATGTAAATATGCCCTATATAACTATGTACCAAAACTGTTATATTTTAAAATGTTTGACTTGTTTAGTTATTTTTGAATTATTATGATAATTAAGAATTACATTTTTTTTATTAAATTGAAAGAACTTGATTTAGCAAATATATCATTGTAATGTTTATATTATGCTGAATTGATTTTATACTTTTTAAGTAACATAATTGATTTATCATGATTATTTGATAGTTACAAAATACTAATAACTTAAGACCTTGGTATGTTGTAGTAATGAACTCTGTTAGCACTTATGAGGTAATTTTATAATTTTTTTTTACTATTATTTTTAGAGTTTTATGCTCATAATTATTAAGTTTAGTACAACTACCTAACATACAATCATTATGAAATTATGAAATTCAAATACGGTAATTTGATTGATAGATTCCTAACTTAAGATAATTTATGTATAGCTAATGGTGTATGCATGAGTAATGAGTTTTCATATTTTTGTAAACTATACATGTTGCTATATTTATACATTTGTATACAATGAAACATATTATTGAACTGTAGTAGTTTTTAGCAATTTTTCAGTAAAAAAATTTGTGAATGAACATAATGCAAAGTTTTTTGATTTATTCTCCCGGTGCCAACTGTTAGAAACTTTAAATTTGAACCAAAGCCCTCTTATAATGGTCTCATGCAAAGTATGATTTTAGAAGTTTAAATTCAGGCGGCTGTAAGATCTTATATTTTTCCCAAAAAGAGAAATTTTATTTTTATTTTTTCAATTATTCAGTTATTCAAAATTTCAAATTTAGTATTTGGAGCTTTTAAAAGTAGGTACTTTAAGAATAAAGACCATAATTTCAATTTTTTGGATTATAGTACTTCTTAAGAAGTTTACTGTAAACAAAAGTGTGAAAAAAAAATATAAATATTGTTATTATATATTTAATTTATGGTGTACAATATTTATCAAGAATGTTATTGTGTTAGATTTTCATTCAAAAATACAATTCATAGTGGAGATGATGTATCAACCTAACATACTTGTATGAATAATTAAATTGAATAAACAGTTGAATATCAAATATTGTAAAAATTTAAAATCAAACGGATTTTAATGAATTTTGTCAGAATCTGGACTTTAGAACTTTAGATACATATAAAAAATAATTGTGCCTACGTATTTTTAATATTTTTATGCTTTAAAAACATATTTTCAAAAATCTTGAATTTCAAACCATAACACCATTCATTCTAGATTTATTTATTCAGTAAAAAATTAATCGTATTAGTTACTATACTAATTTATATTATTCATTTAAAATCAAATCAAAATATTTCTTACACTTCCATATTAAATTACGGTACTTGAAAAAAAATCTTAGAATTTTATTATGGAACAAAAACCAAGTTAATGATTTTTTTGGATTTTGTATTTATTACAAGCGATGTTTACATTCTATAGAATTTGATAAAATATGAATATAGGCTTAAAGTTACAAATATAAAAAGTGTATTTAGTTATCTGGTCATACCCTGTAGTTTCAATCTATTTTAAAAATATATAAAGAAAATGACGCAAAATTAAAAATATAATCTTCTATCTGTATTAAATATCAATAAATAATTTATTTATTACTATGCATTTTTAGAATAATATTATTATGATATCCAATATGTATATTGTATCATATTCGGTTATTCTATTCGAAAATACCTAACCTATTTTAGWGGCGACAACGTTCAAGACTCTGCGAAAGATCAACGATAAGAAATATAGTACAATTATAATACGTGTATATTATTATTTATTTAGCTATAATATGATTTCACTCGTAATGTCAGTATCTATGAAATATATATACTTTGTCAATTAGAGCTCAGGCGCCCAGTGTTTCACGATTTTCTGTTGGGAAATAAGACACTAAAACATGTTTATCCGAAAAAAATTTGCCTTTATATTATTAATGGACATTAGTTATATAGTATTATAGTAATAAAATAATAATACATTGTAAAAAGTGTTATTTTTTTAGGTTACATTTTTTAGGTATCATAAGGACATTAAACATTTAGGCATTTCATTCAAAACAGATATTAATTCATTAAAAATTATAAAGATTAAATACCATATATTTTCGTATTTTTTATTTGTCCACTCTAGGAATATAGCATATTAGCATGTCACTAGTCAGCATTCATAATATTTGTGGAAGTTCACGGTTAAAGCATCGGTGGTACCTTGTCACGGCGACTTAAGTGATATTGTGATGTCTACTTGTTATTTAGTCGTCTTCTGTACAGTGGTACGTGTCATAATTATACTCCACTAGGGCGCGTCACATGTACCGTTGTGGCATTGTCTGGTTACAAAAAGTAAATATTCTATCAAGTTATCCGATTCACTAACTATTTACAATTTGTAGACTATAGATAATTCGAAGAAAAAATAGGAAATTTTAGAGAGACTATGTGAAGTAAGAAAATATTTAGTAGCCACAAAATATGTCGTGCACATAGGCAGTGGCGTAAGGCGTAACTATTATGGGGTAGCGGTCGTGACCACAAAAATTTTTATGGGGTCGCAAGAGTATCATTTTGCTACCCTAAAATTATTTATATAATTTAATAAAAAAAATCTGCGTCAGTGTGTATTTAATATTTATTTATCTTTAAACAGTTATCAAGAAAAAAATACGTTATTTGTGAATTTTCGTGTTATAAAACAACTGTAAGTTTCTTACTATTTGAGAAGGGACCTACAAATTACATATTATTAATTAATATGTATTAATGTTGGGGCGCATCTAAATTCTGTCGATTGTGACCTTATTTTTAGGCCTTTTTTCGTGTAAATTCCACCGGTTAGWTTTAAATACTTTAGAGTTTTAAATTCCAGGAGAACGTTTTTTTTTACATATTTATTACATACATATTACATTTAGATACTTATATAGTTATATATCTGTTTTACACAAATTTAAAAAATGTATATACCTAATAATCAAAAACATCTAGTTAGTTAATAGTAAGAAAATAATTACKTAAACAAAATTTTAAATTTGGATTAATAATAATGATTAGATGCAGCTTTAACAAATTGCATATAGGCAATAAGCATAATGTAATCGGCGAAGTCTACGTGTTTTTATTAGGTCAAAATGTTATAAATCCGACGCTAAAATCGACTACCAGTAAATCGGTTAAATTTACAATCGCCTTAATGTTGTATATATTTAGGGTCAATTTTAGTGCAAATTGAGAAATTGAGTATATATATATATACATATCTGGATATACTATATATACTATCCCTCTAGACTAAGGGTCGGCAAGTAATTTCTATTGGAGTCCGGAATATTAAAATAATAAATAAGGTCCATGTGAATAAAATTTTTACCAAATCTTTATGTTTTTACAATAGTAATATGAAGAAAAAATGTTAGTACATAATACATATCAACGGTCCGGACTTTCGGAGGTTTCCTGCGTTCCGCGGTCCGCCAGTTGCCGACCGTTGCTCTAGACTAGAAATAAATAATAATGTAATATTATGTCATGATAGATTCATGATAAAAAAAAATATATAAATACTGAATTCTTTAATAGCTTATAATATTTTTTAAACTTAAATTCAATTGAATTATATTTTTATTTATTAACTGTAGCTACAGTCAAATTCACTTCGAGAGTACCAAATAATAACTAATAATTTTATTAAGTGATAGCGCGGCGTCGTCGATAGGCTTTTATAATTATTGAGGTGCACCACTACTKTCAGTCGTTTGTCGCCGTGTTGAACGTGAATCTGCGTGAAAACCGCTCATATTTTTCCGCATCGGATGCACCGCTGCACTGCGGCGGAACTGCCCTGCATGGTCAAAATGGAAATCGTATTCGCCTCGTTCGCATAGGACACGGCGTGAGTGTATTTTGTATAGTGTATTATACCTGGCATGTGAAACTCAAAGTATAACTGGGCCAAATTAAAAATATTATTTATTATTATTTTTTTTTTTTCAATATTATATTGAATAGATAACTATTATGCGAGCCTCACATTCAAATTTATCGAAAAAAAGTATTTTATACCATTTTTTGATTTAGTTAACTACACTTACAATACGAATTACTAGTGAATACTTATCCGATTAAAGTTTATTAAAAGATAGTGACACGAAATGAAAATTGGATTAATAATTATTAATTAATATTGSTAGTAACRGGACATATAAAAATAAATCAAGGGCCGYATTATGTTTGACGTACCTGTTGTACCTATACTATGCCCGTAAAGTTTACCGCAGATAATAGTATAATACAAACGACGAGCGACGATTGTCATTTGTGTCTTGTTCCTTCATTCACTCCAACGCTCATGATGCCTGTTTTCGATTTTGTATGCAACAAATATTTATTTTCAACTTTGATAGACCACTAATAGAGTATTATAATAGTCCCGATACTGTTATAGAATTGTCATTCTAATAGCGGAAAATCAGCCGAGTATTTAAATGCAAGAAATATACGAGAAAAAACAATATTAATTAAATTGCGTTTCACCAGTAATCAATTTATTAATATAACAAAAGCTTTTAATTTTCAATTATTTTATATGCATAATTATATGTATTTTAACATTTTAAGTTTGAATGTATGATATTTAAATTGATCGAATTAGATTGGACAAAAACATAATTTTATACCTTAATATGTTAACGCAATATTGGTATAGGTACTAACCGTAAAATATAAGAAGCGCAATATTAATATACACCGATCCTAAAATACAAATGTTGTTTTACAGGTGGAAYTGATGAATCACCAAATATACTCAACAGACAACACATATTTAACCTTAAATTATATACGCTTATTTAAATAATGATTTTTGAAATTTTCAAGTATA